GAACCAGAAGCTGGGTTATGATACCAAACTGCACATTAACCTAGAACCCACAAAGGGTGTTGGTCGATTAAGGGGCTGTTTGTTTCCCTCTTAATGGTGACATTAAGAGGGCACCTCTGAATCGGTYAGAGGTGAGACATGTTTGGCAAAAAAATAAAAGCCTCTTAATGGTTACTCAAAGCTCTTAACCATTTTGAGGTTGAATCCATGCTAAACCATTCAGATTATTAATTTGACCTCTATACCCTTCCACACCTACCGCCCCATTCTCTCCTTCTCTACTCTTCCACATCGGCCTACCACAGGAAATGCTACATCATCGTCTCCAAGGGAAAATCAGCCGGTGACCTCCATCTTCCACATCTCCATCGCCGGTGACCTCCATCGCCGGTGACCTCCATCGCCCGGTGACATCCATCGCCCACGCCTCTGTTTTCGGTGACGGTGACGCGCAGAAGCTTCTCGACGCTCCATCAGGTAATGTCTCCGGTCCTACTTATTCGTTTAGTCGCCGGTTGCTGGTCGCCGGTCGSTAGTCGCCGGTCGCCGGTGACCTCTAATCAGATTATTTGTTTTCCCTATTTACATTTCTCGAAGCTATTATCACTTTTACATCAAGTATTTAGATCAACTATTTAGATGGTGACCTCTAATCAGATTGTTTATAGATCAGATTGTTTATAGATCTTCTGTTCAGATTGGTGACCTTCATTGAATAAGTCACATGACAAATTTATCTGCCAAAAAAATGTCGGGAAGAAATTGACTAACCAGGGATTTCTGTATGGGCCAACTTTATTGGCATAGAAGGGGACTGTATCTCGATCATGGTAGCAATGATCAGAGGCATCTGATTCTACTTGGCTTCCAAGGTAGACGAATAGAAGAGTGATAAAAAGGGGTTTTGGTGATCCAACCATCCCTGGTAGTCTGACAAATAAAAGTGAGAAAATATGTTGCAGAAAATTAGATATCAAAGGTATAAGAAATTAAGCACACCAATCTATCTACATTCAGCACTTCATGGAGCATTAAAACTCTTATAGTTTTAAAGTTCTTCTTAATTTATTATACACGTGAAGCAGCACAAACATTTCACCTGGTAGCATTAACATTAAATCAGACACCTAATAACTAAGAACATTAAAACTTCAAGTAATAATGAAATTTGGAAAAAAAAAACAGCTCCTGCTAAAGAACAATTACCATTTCAGTTCCAAGATTGCTATTTAGGGGGTTTGAAGATTGCTTTTCTTATCTGTGGGGTTTGAAGATTGCTTTTCTTATATGGG